GCCTAAATTACATTTGGCATACACTCCATCCAAACGACAGAAGCTAGTCTTTCTACTCAGAAGTACACAAGACTCATTCCCGCATTGACGCGTTTTTAGCATCAGGCAGACTGTTACCACACATATGAGGGACATACTGTTGTCTGACCACAGTACTGTAATCCTGGACCTACATGATGCATTCAGATTTAGAGGCCAAACCCCCTGGTGTCTCACCGATTCCCTTTTACAAAAAGAATTGACAAGGCATCTGCAAGAATATTTCCAACAAAATGAGACCACCGATGTCACCCCGCCCATGGTATGGCAGGCCCACGAAGATGTACTGAGAGGCTTAATAATCAGCCATGCCTCACACATACAAAGAACTAACAACTCAAATTACTTATCATTAAGGAAACTCAGAGACGACACAAATGCCCACCCCACCCTACCATCCACTGCTCTTCAGGAGGCTGTAAACCTCACTACAAAACAAATAAATGAAATACTCCTCTCCAAATCAATAGCCACACTACATAAACTGAAACAAAGAACATATACCCAAGGAAATAAAGCAAGCAAGATGCTCACCTCCATGCTGCGTCAGAAACATGCCCAGTCCAAGATCCCATACTTATTTTTGCAGACTGGAGGAAAAAAAATCTTAAACCACCAAGAGATCAACAACGCTATGGCTCAATACTACCACACACTTTACAACATACATGAAGACCAAAAAACACACCAACCAACACTGACATAAATAAATGAATTTCCAAGCCTTATGAACCTGCCCACTCTGACGCAGGAACAAGGCCCCTATCACAACACAAGAAATCAATCAGGCAATGTGCTCTCTGCCAGCCCATACGTCCCCAGGCCCAGATGGGTTCATCAACCTATATTACAAAACATATGCAAACCAACTGGTACCCCACTTGGAACAAAATTTTATCCACATTGTAGACACAGGCAAAATTCCCAAAGAAATGCTTGAGGCATTTGTAGCTAAACTGCCAAAACCAGGCAAAACCCCAGACAGGTGCCAAAACCTGCGACCAATATCCTTATTGAACATGGACGTCAAAATCGTAGCCAAACTATACACTATCCGACTATCGCCAATCATCCCCACTATAGTACTTGAGAACCAGGTGGGATTTGTGGGAGTCAGGCAGGGATCGGAGGACTGAGAGGCAGAGGGAACTCAAGAGTTCTCATTTCACTGGTTGCTGAAACAATATTCGACAGGCTCAATTGGTCCTTCCTCCTCTCGGTCCTCAAAAAATTTGAATTTCCATTGACAACAGCACAGGTATCAAACGCAGCTTTATCTCCACACTGTTCAAGCTATTCAATGGGACAAGGCAGGGATGCCCACTATTACCACTGCTTTACATATTAGCCCTGGAACCGCTCATTGCGTACATCAGACACAGTCCCGATGTACATGGAATAACTATCCACAACATGGAACAAAAATTAACCTTGTTTGCAGATGATATTCTTTTAACTATGCAACAACCAAACACCTCACTGCAGGCCTTTCACCACATCCTCCAACAATACAGTCAATGCTTGTACTATAAGTTAAAGCTGACAAAACCACAAGCCATAGACATCAACTTTTCAGACTCCTAACTATTGGTACTGAAAAACACCTTCCCATATGATGGAAGAGCAGATCATTTAACATTTCTGGGGGTAGTCTTAACTGTCTCCACGACCGACCTACACAAAGCAAATTTCACTAAATTGTTAACAGAGGTTAAACAACAACTAATTAGCTGGAGTGGCAAGTATGTCTCATGGTTGGGTAGGATAGCTACCATATAAATGATAATTCTTCCAAAACTCTAATATCTCTTTCAAACCTTCTCTATGAAACTCCCGGTACCATATATCAGGAAAACGCAACAGCCTCTAAACACTTTCATTTGAGAGGGACGGAAACCTAGAGTGTCAATCAGGACACTACACAAGGCCTTCGATGAAGGTGGCATGGGGATGCCGTATGTCCAGGCATAACACTCAAGCTCAATTTTCACTCCCCATCATGGCACCAACTTGAAACAATGGGCCCAAATAGAAACTGCATATAAATAGGGCCTAGGATTAACATCCCTGGCATGGATACCTACAAACCTATGAAAAACACATACAAGCTACTACTCACAACTGAAGTAACCATAAAAATCTGGGACACACATAGACACGTTTTGCACCAGGGGAGCAAAGTACCAAGGCCTTATCAATCGAAGCCCAATTTCAACTACAAATTCTGGCAACAACAAACTCTAAGCCAAATCACTGACACACAATACTCATATCCCCAGGTAAAATCCTTGGTGGGGAAACACTGCCCACCTAAACAATTAAATGTAAATGGACAAGATCTGACGGAGGTGGAAAGCATTATCTTACACAAGAAACCACCTAAAAACTCATCTCCCTATTCTATACCAAATTACAGGAACCATAAAAACACATAATTCCCACGTTCAGCATGGGAGAGGGAACTCCAAAGACTATTGGACAATTCACAATAGGCACACACATTCCAAGCTCATAAAAAAATTGACACTCAGCACGTCTCATATTGAAACCCCAAGGAAGGTACTTTATAGGTGGTATATGGTCCCAGCGCCCATGCATCATGCAGATAAGACAAAATCGGCCTTATGCTGGCAATGTCAAACTGCCATAGGCATGATGCTACACATATTCTGGTCATGCGACGCTCTGCCCTCCTACTGGAGCCATGTCGCAAAACTAGTTTACAACTGCACCAAGGTTTCGACCCCTGAAAGGATCTTTGTCAAGCTAGACAAAGAACCTTTCAGGGATTGAAAAATTGTGGTGTCTCACTTGTCCCAATAAGCACATTTTAAGATACTTGAAGTGCCTGGATTCCCCTTCTACTACTGATATATAATTTGCAATGTTCCTTTAAATAAAAGATTAAGAATTTTTTTTTGTGCCTTTTTAATATATTTCCATTCTTTACCACTTTTACATAAGTCACTATAGTTTCTCTCAACTGCACATTTAATGCAAAAAAAAAATCATTTGATAGAATTTAGTTATACTTAAGTGAAATTTGGCATTTTAGATTTATATTAATCACATTACTGTTTGTGAAGTGTTTATTTTAGAAGTAATTATGAGATAAATACCTGCTGGTTAATGGAAGAATAACACCCAGATTAAAAATACCATATTTTTTATTCTGGCTTTTAATGTAATTTGTCCCTTCCTTATAAACAGCTTTATAAATAATCATAATTTTTTTTTTTTTTTGCTAACCAGTATTACATGCTATATTATATCGCTGTTATAACAAGCACAAGTACAGAAGAGGCTGTAAATCCATTTTTAGAGAATGGCTTATTTATGCAAATTATAAACAAAAAAATTATAACTTTGTCACAAACTTGTTGAAGGCGAGGCACTAAAATTAAAGAAAAGTTGTCCTCTGAGAATAGGAGTTATTACAGGCAAAAAAATTGGGTTCAATTTGACAATTTAACCTGGACAAAGTCTACAATATTTACTAACCACCAACATGGCTTAATTATCCACAATGTTTCCTTTTGCCGGTCTAAGAAGGGAAGCTGTGCTTGGAAGACAGTTTAAATATCTGTGATATTTACTATCATGGCTCACTGATTGGCTACTGAGTGTAACTCTGGTCAGTCCATGGATTTATTTACCTGCGTAAGTGCAGGGTGATCAGGGTGCTTACATGATGGGGACTCAAAGACCCTAGGATGTCTTTATTTATTTTAGTTTCTTTATGAGTGCAACAGTGACCAGTGCATTAGTCCTGGCATTGTTAGGTGTAGCAGTCATGCCACAAAAGGGACTTCATTTGAGCCTGTAAAACTGATACTAAAAGAGCAACTGGTCCACTCTTGTCCCCAGTGCAGTCAGAATAGGTTAATACTCCAGTTCTGACTAAACATCTGAATATATATTGAACTAGGACATTGACTAGGTCAAGTATACTAAGTAGCCAGATATTCAATTGATACAGATCACCATTCTGTGGAATTTACTGAGCCGAGGGTTTATTGCAAGCCCTGTCTGTAATAACATGCAATAAAAGCTATATTTTGAAAGCCGACTTTTCAGGAGGATAGTTCAGGGCCAGATTGACATAGGGGCTGATGGAGCTGCAGCTCCAGGCCCAGGCCCATGGAATAGGCCCATTTAAAAAAAAAAAAAAAAAAAAAAACTCTTTTTACATTTTTTTTTACACACTACTCTTAGGTTTGCCACCTGACTGGTATTTTACTGGCACAGCCTGGTATTTGAGGCTGCCTGGCCAGTGCCAGTATTGCAGTTATACAGGCAATACAAATGCAGGTATTTTTCTCAGTATAAACGGAAATTACTCTGCAATACCAGCACCGGCCAGTATTGGTCACTGTGTGTGCAGAGAGGTAGGGATAGGAAGTTACAGCATATCCCTCCCTGCCTTTCTCTACTATTCACTGATCTGTGGGGGAGCAGCTACACAGCACAGAGAGTCCAGACAGGAGCGCTACAGCTCAGGTAAGTGAGGGATGGGGGGAAAGGCAGCAGGGAGACATGGGGACACTGAGACACTAGGGGACACTGAGAAACTAGGGAACACATGGGGACACAGACACTAGGGGATACTGGGAGACCTGGGGACACTGGAAAACACGGGGACACTGAGAGAAATGGGGACACTGAGACACATGGGAACACTGTGAGACATAGGGACATTGGGAGACACTGAGACATTGGGACACAGAGAGAATAGGGGCACAGTGTCCCCATGTCTCCCAGTGTCCCCTAGTCTCCCAGTGTCTGTGTCCCCATGTCTCAGGGTCCCTAGTGTCTCAGTGTCCCCAAGTGTCTCAGTGTCCCCGGGTGTCTCAGTGACATGGGGACACTGGGAGAAATGGGAACACTGTGACACTGGGATACTAAGGGACTGGGTGACATGGGGACACTGGCACTGTGATACATAGGGACACTGAGAGACTGGGTGACTTGCGAGACTGAGACACTGGGAGACAGGGAGACACTGGGAGCAATCCATCTATACAGCAGAATCAAACTGTGAGTAGTTTGTTGGTGATTTTACAGAATTTTCTCTTATGTCACTCCTTGTGATTTACATCATGTGATGTCACACATAACTAATTAATTATTCAAATGTATAAGGCTGGTATTTTTTTCCAAGAAAGGTGGCAACCCTAACTACTCTTCACATACTCTTGCTTAAAGGAACACTAGAGGGTCAGGAACACAATCATGTATTTCTGACCTTATAATGTTAAAACCACAATTTAGCCCCCCTGGCCTCCTCTTGCCTCCCTAAATATAGTAAACTTTTACTTGTATTGACATCATCAGAAGTGGTGGTCTGCACAAATTACAATGCTTCCCCATAGGATTGGCTGAGACTGTCAACGAGGCAGATCAGGGGCAGAGCCAGCACAAGTCAAACATAGCCCTGGCCAATCAGCATCTCCTCATGAAGATAAACTGATTCAATGCATCTCTATGAGGAAAGTTCAGTGTCTGCATGCAGAGGGTGGAGACACTGAATGGCAGTGCTGCACACTAGGCAATACTGCCCTAGGTGGCACCTCTAGCAGCCATCTAAGGAGTGGCCATCAGAGTTATTTTCTCTGAAAAGACAGTGTTTACTGCAAAAAGCCTGGAGGGAATGATTGTACTTACCAGAACAAATACAATGAGCTGTAGTTGTTCTGATGACTATAGTGTCCCTTTAAGTTTGGAAGCTTAAGAGGGATGCATGAGAACAAAACCTGTGTGGACTGGCTGACAATAAAATAAGTTTAGATAATGCAGACTTTGGTCTCTCTAACATTGTGGCATGTCCCCTTTCTTCTACACTCACTACATAACCCTTTTCTCTGTCTCAGACTATATACCAGGAACTTCTGCCTGCTAGTAAGATGATAAGGAGGCAAGTTGACATGTGAGTGCTAGGGGACAGTCCTTAGAAAGCGTGGAGTAGGCGCATCATTTGATGCATTTATGTCGAGCTCAGGGTGCTGCCTGCATAGTATGCCCTTAGTTGGACAGCCTGCACGATTGGCAGACAGTCTGGCATGCATTCATGCCAGACTGGCCTTCCAATTCTTTGGATAAACATGCCCCCTTTTTGGGCATGTTCACCCCTTTTGGCAGGTCTGGTCATGTGATTCACGCCAGTGGCACACTCTTTTACCCTGCACATTGACTTCCTGCTTCACTGGACACTGCTGTTAAGGGATATGGATTAACTTGAAAGATGAAAGCATAAATTAGAGAAAGATTAGCATAGAGTATGTGTTTTTGCATAGCTGCATCCTTTGAGTTTCCCTCCAATACCATCTCCATCAGGTACATGACGCTTGGGAGGTATGACTGTTTTAGTGTTTTTGGTCGATAAGATTATGTAATCAGGCCCATCATGATTGTCAGCACCAGGCCCACCGGGCTCTTAATCTGGCCCTGTCTATCATGTGTAAAAAATTAGTGCTAGTAAGAATGTGCTCTGTATTCTCAGACAAGCAGATTGTGCCTCTGGGTCCTGTTCTTTGAGGCTGAAAGGAAGGCTTGTAATCGCAGGTGCCATCTCAAGGTCTGAGGCCTGCGTGCCAGAGGAAACAATGTGGCAACTGACAAATTTCTTCCTTTGAGTTTATTTTTTTGCGGCGTTCAGGTTCCCATACTGGCCCAGACTCATGTCTCAGCTGGTATATGTTTGAATGGTTATGGGTTCCTTTGATTATAAGCGCATTACACAGTGCATAGAACAAAGCCTCTCTCCTAAGCTGCCATTCAACTCAGTATCCAAACCACGCCGCAAAAAGCCCTTTTCTGCTTAATAGTCCCTATGGATAGATTAATTGAGAAATCTTTTGTTTTCATTTGTAAACTAAGTTGGCGTTCAGAAATTGCCAGATGTATCCAAATTTGAACCAAATTTGATTCGGAAAGAATGCACATGTCTACAATAGAGAGAGTAATTTGTGTTGCAATTAATGTTAAACAAACACAAGGAATTTCCCTGAGTCTGCCAAATATCAGGTATCCAAGACTACATTTACAGATTATGAGGATAAAGACCAAAGACACATAGGAGAGCTTATATAAGATGAGACTCAATACTATTGAGTGACCTAGTTAATGCCCTGATTTAACTTTAGTAGGAAATATACAACTAGACTTTGAGTCAGAACTGGAGCATTAACCTATTCCGAAAGAACTGGAAACACATTTCACTATCCAGTAATACAGAGCTGGAGAGCTCTTGCCCATAGGGAGAGCTAAAGAGATCTTGACTGTATATCAGTACCAACTTCTTTTAGCAGTTTGCTTATTCGATACTATTGTATTTTACAGTTCTATAAATAAATAATGCATTGTATAGGTTATTTAAAGGTAGCCTTTCAGGAGCAATAAGTGATTAGATGCCTGCTCAAACACATTTGTAAGTCTGTAAGAAGAGTATCATGTATTTACAATTATTTGAACTTAACTGCCAATGGAATTAATTTTTAATTGATCTAGATAGGATCTGTGACGAGAGCAATCTCACCACATTGCACTGGAGACGCCTGGTTGCTCGCCTGCTGCCTTTGGACTATAGCCCCATGTTAAAAGACATCTTTTTTACCTGCAGAAAAGATTTATTCGTTCTTTTCTGGCTGGTGTTCGGTAGATTCAATCTACCGAACAACCGCACGAATGACTGGACCACCTGGGAGCTGGAGTGTGCCGGCAATCAGCCTCCCTGAAGCTGCGGTTAACCGCAGCTTAATTGACGAATGCTGGGTGGCCGCCATTCATATCACGAACACGAGGTTGCGGCCATTTTAAACATGCGGACGCACAGCGGTGTTTGAGGCTTAATTCATGGAACTGAAATCGGACACAGTTCGGTAGTTTTACTTGAATGTGTTATACCCCAGATAAGAATCCCATGGAGCCCATTCGCATGAGAAACTGACTGTGTAGAAACTTTGGCTCCATGGCAATTACACTGTATTCGTGTGGTCTGAGCGCCATTCGCTTAATAACGTGCGCTCAGACCTGAGCTATCTGGGGATATGTTAAATGTATAGTTTTATTGTAATGTGTCTCACATAGTGTATTTTAATAGTAATTCGTGTTGTAGTATCCCCACGTGCATAATGGCGATTTGCCTTTGTCTTGGGAGATAATTGAATTACTTCTCAATTATCTCCAAGGCAGAGGGGAGGAAGCCAGGATGCATTGTGGAAATATAATGTGACTGTGTGTCCTATTTGTCTACTTGTCTGTCTTTTGTCACAGTCTCCCATTTGGTCCCCTAGGGGAGTGTCCACCAGGTGGGAGACCTGCATAAATACTGGGCAGGTAGCCCTCATTAAACAGACCACTGCTTGACCCACAACATGGAGCCTTGTCTCGTCTTTGGGGGGATTTACTGAATGCTGATAGAGACTGATTGCTAGGAGTGTAAGCCGCTTGGATGCTTTTCCTATTCGTCTGCTAGCAGCGATTCGTATGGTTCCAGTTCGTGTGTTTGGAATGTTACATTGTATGCCGTTCGGGAGTTTGGAGCATTCCCTTATTGGCGGTTCGTGAGTTTGGTGTTCTACAGTAGCTGTGCCTGCATCTCTGGAAAGGGGGACGATCGCCTAATCAGTTTTTACCCCTTGTGTGCGAGGCGGTCCGTTACAGGATCATTAATCAATTTAACATGACCTTGAAGGATCACAGAAGGGGAGAATGGGTTAAACACTTACCTTTCTCCAGCGCCAGGCTCCCTCGGCGCTGGGGTCTCTCCTCCCTCTTCCAATGTCATCCGCTGAATGCGCTTGCCACGCGTGCATTCAACCAGTCCATAGGAAAGCATTTCTCAATGCTTTCCTATGGAAGCTGGTGTCTTCTCACTGTGAAAATCACAGTGAGAAGTGCGGAAGCATCTCTAGCGGCTGTCAATGAGACAGCAACTAGAGGCTGGATTAACTCTAATGTAAACATAGCAGTTTCTCTGAAACTGCTGTTTACAGCTGCAGGGTTAACCCTAGATGGACCTGGCATTCAGACCACTTCATTGAGCTGAAGTGATCTGGGTGCCTATAGTGGTCCTTTAAGTGTATCTCACTGTGAGAGCATTGAAAGTCTGTGGCTGACTGTTTCTCCATCTGCTTTTAGATTGTAAGATATAGGGTTCTGCCAGGATAAACAAACAGCACATATATTGTATAGGATACACCCTCATCCCTGCAAGCAAGTAAGCAAAGAGTGTTAAAAGTATTTATTTTACAGGTTCACTTATGCAGTGATCTTAACTTTACAAAATAAGGCCTCGGTTTATCTAAAGGAACACTATAGGGTTAGGAACACAAACATGCATTCATGACCCTAGAGTGTTACAGACACCATCTCACCAGAACAAATGTCATAAGCTGTAGTTGTTCTGGTGAATTTAGTGTCCCTTTAATATTGGTGGATTAGCTTTACAAATGTTTTAATATTTTTAAAAATATTTAAAGGGACACTATAGTTACCAGAACAACTACAGCTTATTGTATTTGTTCTGGTGAGTTTACTGTAAAATTCACTGCAGACTTTTTACAGTAAACACAGTTTTTTCAGAGAATTGTACATTACAGCCTAGGGATACCTTCACTGACCACGTTTCAGATGGCTACTACAGTGCTGCACTGCCATTCAGTGTCTCCACCCTCTGCATGGAGACACTGAACTTTCCTTGATTCAATGAATTTCCATAAGGAGATTCTTGTATGTACGTAGTGGGGAATCGCGATGCAGCATAATACATAAACCAACCCAAATCATCCCCTTTCCAAAATAATGACAGACAACGTAGTATGGATAAAACAGGCCACAGCATTTATTATAACATATGACAAATACTGTATGACACATCCATAATTTTCTTAATAAATTCCTCTTCATTTCTGTAACCAAAACATTAAACATAAATAACCATAAATTAACATATATATGCATTTAACTTAACACATAGTGTCATACAGTGAACCCAACCGTCCTTGCCAATAAACTGACCATGCGCCTATGTGCGACTTCCTCTCACCTCCCCCCTCGTCAAAAATAATTTCCTTCCAATGCCTGCCATCAGCCGACCTTATCCACGCTCAATGGCCACGACACCCCAGGTAACCTAAGATTAACCCTTTGAAGCAGGGGAGGTTGAGACCTTAATAACTTGTTCATCTCATTCCATATACTTAAACGTAACCCCTCAAACTCAATTGGCAAGGACATACCCCCTGCTAGCTGTGACTAAATATACTAAAAGGGTGGGTGGGGAAGCTGTTTGTTGGCCCAAATCCCAAGTGGCACTGAGGTAAAACCTCCCCCACACTAATTTACACAGAACATAATCCCACCCACACATTCTTTCCCAGAACATAATCCCACCCACACATTCTTTC